GCAAAGGGTAGGGTAGAGAATCAGCTCACGTAGCTGATTTTCCCGGCGCCTCCCGGCGCCTGGAGACGCCCATGTATCGAGGAATGGGCCCGGCGGCGGGGCCGAAACCAGCTGCATGCAGCAGATTTCGTAAGCCCCCCTTTTCCCTATTCCCCCAGCTCACGAACTGCCTCCGTGTTGCTAAATTTCAGCATGAGCTGGGCCTGCGACGTGTAGAACATGATTGGCCTGTTTTCCACCACCACCACCACCATACATTGAAGGGGGAAGGAAGAGGAGGAGGAGGAGGAGGAGGAGGAGGAGGAGGAGGACGAAGATGAGGAGGAGGAGGAAGAGGAGGAGGACCTCCTCCCCCTCCAACTTATGGTGGTGGTGGTGGTGGAAAACAAACCCATCAGCACACGCCTGTGGTCATGGACGCATGCGCGTATACGTTCTCGCTCGCGTTGGGCACCCGTGCGGACGACTGCGGCGGGCCTGTCAGCAACGCAGGCGTCTTCGGTTTGCGTCGCACTCATCCACGGGCAACGGGAAGCGCGCTGGCACCATCCGGGCGATCAACGCCTCGCTGACGCAGTACACGCGCGAGGACGAGGACACGATCTCGTGGACAGTGCGCTCGCTCACGTCGGGCTCCTGCGCAACCGACTGCAGGTACGCTGGAACTGGGGGGTCTGTCAACGCCTCGCCTGCGTGGTAAACAGCCATGGTCGTGGACACCTGCGCGCAGACGGCTTCCCTGCGCCCTTCGACCTCCTTCGCTGTCGCCTGCAGGAACGCTCAAACCACCAGGTCCGTTAATCCCAACCACCTGGTCTAGCGATATCTTTCTCTCATCTGCCGAACCTCCGCTCGAGCCATCTGTTGATGGCCTCTGCTAGTGTTGAATAATGCTTCGCATGGGAAGGGGTATAACAACATACGAACAGCGCGTAGTCGTAGGCCGCTGCCATGAGCCTCAACCCTGCCACTCTGCCTCGTAGGTATCCTGGAGGAGTGCAGATGTCGCGTAGAACTGCACCGCCTGGACTGTGGCTCAATAGCGTGGCGAGTCCGCAGCGATTGTGAGTCCACTTCCCCTCTCTTGTCCCAAACTGTAGAACGTCATGATACGGGAGCCTGTTTATGTGGATGGTTCTGGCCCCGCCCACCTGCACGTGCAACTGAGAAGGATCACGTCCCAGCTACGGAGCTCGCAACTGATGTCCTCAAGACGTTCTAGTATGCCCGCCTCCAGGTGGTTGTAACAGCATGTGCACATGGACACGGGATGCAGAAAGACACGAGAACCATGGCTGCTCCCAAACCCAACTTGCCACTCAGATTCACGGGTGGGGGCACAACATCGTTGGTGTACAAGTGTACATGAGATACAGACGGACTACGCTCGTGAAGCCGCAGCCAAAGGCCGAGGAGGAGGAGGAAGAGGAGGAGGAGGAGGAAGCATCGGGCCCGAATGGTCTGGGGCTATGCGCGGTAACCACAGCGCCCCCACAGGTGGTCTCCCGCGATCACGGGATCGTATCCGCGCGTGCGGGCGCGAAGCCCGCCATGGCTTGCGTCTCTTCTCATGTTGCTCCTTCGCTTGCTCAACTTGCAAACCCATCTCCCAATGTTCTTGTTTCACCCGCTTTTTTCGGAGTACTTGCAATTACCGAAAGCACTGTGCACACTAGGTTTTGCGATGCGCAAGCATCTTGTTTCTACATCAGCTTGAAACATGTTTACTCGGTGTTGGGCAGGGCTTCTCTCGTTTGCAAACATGCTGGTAAACAGCGTGAACACGTATCAAGTGCCACACGACCGAGCCCATCGATATCTCAACGCGAAACACGCCTTTTGCCGCCCACATGTTTTGTCACGCCGTCATTACCGTCGCCACCTACAAGGTCAGCAGATGGTTCCACGGTCGGAAATACTCGTGCGAACGATTCGAGCAAAAGTGTCGTATTGAAGGAGTACGCACCAGAATTGATACCCCGTGAATTACAGCCGCGGCTTATACTTCCACCGATCGTACGACGCGTTCTTGTTTACCCGCTTCAAGCGCGGATCGGTCTCCCTTTCAGTGCAGCAGACTTTGTTGATAACTCAAGAAGAGCTGACATCGTTGACTGTCAAGAGGCAGCGGGGTCAGGAGGCAACTTCGTGGACAACCCAGGAACAACAGACATCGTTGACAATATTGTAAATTCTAAGCTTTCAGATCCGGGTAGTAATGGGGACACGCCTTCTCATGATGCCTTGTACACGATTGTTGCAGCAACGGCGCCACCGTTATTCGACCCGTCTTCTGACATTTGCAGCAATGGAACTAGATGGTTTGTCTATCAAGGGAAGCAGTTCACTTGCTTCTCTCGTATTGGTTGGATGCCCTCGGACAGCAATGCTGGTTATTGTTACGACGCACGCGCCATAATTGAACATGCGGATCATACGGCAAACCCACTGGACCAACCCAACCTTGTACATCGTACTGTACCAGATTCAACTGGCCAACATTCAGACACATCTTCACTCTCGAGCGATTCATTCGGCACACATGTACCAGTTTCCTCAGTTGCGGCACCAAGCCAGGACAAACTAGATGCCAGAATTCAGATTATCGTTACCATCATCAAATAAGGTGGAGAGCCACTCAAACAAATGCTTCGAGACAAACTGTTGTCAGACAGCAAATTGGTGGTCCGAAGCGTGCATTTTGATGCCGCCACGATGCACGCAGCCCAGCGCCAGTGTTCTCGATTGAACAGGCCTTGTGAATGCACGCGGAACGGCATTCCATACATCACGGCCTTGAACAGCCTCCAGCATTACATACGTTACCACGCTGCATAGTTGCTATCATCGTCATCTCCATCACATCTTTGCATCTTCATTCTCGCATGCGTGGTGTACATTCGCACTTGCTTGCGTTATGCCAGCGCGCACTTGGCGCGTCAGGGCTGCAGCG